TTTCCCTCTTGACTTAACAAAACCATGCTTCAGCCAGTAACAGGGATATAGGAAGAGATACTGATCTGATGCTCAAATATGCACCACAATATCGTAATACGTTTACAAACATCATCTAGCGAGGAGAGACAAATGCACAGCCTAGCTCAGATAATTACACAATAATATCACAAATTACATACGGTATCCTTGTCGGAGGGAGTTCACTACATAACAGCCCCCTAGAATGAGATAGCAAGCATTTGCATCCTCGCTGACTTCTTAACCCAATCAGCAGCCTCTGCAGTCCAACTCTCAGCTCGAGCATGCTTTGGAAATGCTGGTTAGTTGATTCACTCACACCCAAGGACTGCAATTGTGAAAGATCAGCCGCTACAGCTTCATCATTTGGAGTAGTTATCATCACATGACGTCCTCTCGTAGCCAACACTGGAAAAGGGCCTCGAAAGATAGGAGATAATTTACGAGCTCTACTGTGAAAACATAAACCATCTCACCGAGCTTGAGGTTGCTCTCATACTCGATCACTGGCAGCGACCGTTCTCGCTGGAGAAGCCACTCCTTAACGAATACACCGAGAAGTTTTCGCCGATTCCCACCAACTGCATAATACTGCCTTGATAATACCAATGAATCATCAGCACCCTTCATACAAGGAACTGGCAAGGTGCGACCATAAAATAACAAGGCAGGACAAATGCCACTCTGACCGATTTCACCATGATTCACCAGCCACTTAACTTGCTCCAAGACCAACTCATCATACCAGTCTGAGCCACCAACACTGAGGACGAACTTCCTCAAAGCTTCCAATATTATTCTATGCCGTCTTTCATAATAACCTCGTACTTCAAGATGATCACTGGGATGTATATTCCAAGATATAATTGACGTTACGTCAGACTTCATAATCCACACATAGCCACCAGATTTATCAGGAGCCAACTTCGGAAACAGTTGCATAGCAAGTCTTCTGAGAACCAAGGTCACTCTTAAACGGGCCTTAATCTGTTCATCACTCATCGAGCAGATATCGGACTGAATCAGCAATGAGTCCTTAGAGCCGGCCTTCTTATCAACCAAGACTACCTCGTTGATCACCATAGCCTCCCTGACAGTTGCCGCTCGAAATTTATTCTCACTAGCTGCAATACAGAGCCTTCGGTGGATCGCTATCTCTCGAGTGCGGTTACGCTTCCGCCTGGGCTCAGTGAATGGCATCACCGAGATACCACTGAGGGCAGGACACGAGACAGTAAACCCTGACTCACTCTGATGAATGGAGCACTTGTCCCTTACATCGAGAGGATGCAGAACATCAAGCTTATCACCATTCCCATCAGGCAATGCAATCTGGGCCAAACCAGAGCTCATACCGGGTTCATCACCAAGACATTCTATCAGCTTCCGCTTCAGATCCACTGAGCGCTTGATAGTCTCAATGCCTATTATAAAATCCGGCGACAGCCCCTCAATAACTTTGACCTCAACATCATCCACAATTACATGCTTGACCTCGTCCTCAATGTTCACACTAAAAGCACCCAAAACTCGAGCATAATCTCTATTACCACAAGTCACATTACCACATGGATCAAGATGGCCATCAAGTATTTCTTCTTTGACCATATCCTTGAACACATTTGCATTTATATAAGCAGATCCATGGCCACCAGTATCAAGTAGAGCTGGAAGTCTGGCAGCATAGCCAGGTAATCCCTCCACTTGACGAATCACCAACCTTACAGTACAAGCACTGCCTCCTGCAAGGGCCAGAACATCATTAACGACAGTTAATTTCTCAAAGCTCTTGCTTTGAGAACTTACACCAATCTGAGAGGGAATCTTAGCACCATCCTTCTCAACCTCCTTACTGGAAGTAGCAGCAGGATCCTTGCACTGTCCCGACTCTGTATTCGCCATCGGCTGTGACAGTGATGGTGTAGCAGAAGGTATCATTGACCTCAGCACGGGACAATTACGGCGTAGATGTGGACCACTACAATGCCAGCACCTGAGAGGCCCTCTAGATCGAGTGGGTCTCTCTCCTTTCACCTCAGATGAAGAGTTCTTCGCCACCTCCAACGTAGCATTAATCGTCGGCGGTGATACCGTAGCTCCAAGATCTCCTGCTTCATCAGCAACAGCATTCACTGAAGAGTCAATATTTGCATTCTCCCAAAGACTAAGTACAGAGCACAACTCGTTTACATCTCTTATGTGAGAGTAGGTGGCCTTGACCGCTTTCTGGTAATTGGGCTTCAGACCCTTAACGAACTTATCCAAGATCTCATCCTGTGTAATCGTAAGGCCAATACATTTACCCTCCATAACACCTTCTCGTAGTCTACCAATGTAGTCGCCAATAAGCTCATTACTCTGTTGTTTAACCTGCGATAGACGATTTCGGTAGCGAATACTATCATTCGTTACGTCAAAGGC